TCCCCCCCCCCCCCCAGGCCCGCACCTCTTTTTGCTAACGCACCCTTTTTGGGGGCGCAGGGAATCAAGGACCTTTCTTACCACCCTCCCTTCAGTATGCTAATTTGAAGCTTAAACTTGTCTTATAATAATTTAACTCCATTTCCTCCAGAAAAAATAATCCTTGATAGGCTCTCAGTTCCTAGAATTTTTCCAGAATTTTTTTTCCCCGGTGACATCTGCTTGTGGGTTTGAAGTAAGCAGAGAAAGGGTGAGCCAGGTAGGCTCTGACATCGGCTCCCAGTGCCACCTGCGTAGGACCCCAGATCTGGGAGCCTGCAGCCGGGCTCTGAGAGTTCAAGGTCCTAAACCAGAGGTCCTGGGGCCAACCCACCAGTTCTGACTCCCCAAACCACATCGCGTCTCTGACTAGAAAGGGAATTTTAAAGGTTCTCGCCTGTCTTAGGGGTTATCCCAGATGACCAAAGGTGGGCAAATAGAGACCAGCAAGTGAAGGCAGGAGTATGTTAGAGAACGAAATGCCTTTAGCTTGGAGCTGCCGACAGCTTTCTTGTAAGAAATAGTTCCTGTGCCCAGCCAGCCGCACCTGCATCCCGCCCCTTGTGCAGGCAGTCCTTTTACTCTAATCCCCCTTCTAAAGAGAGATTTCTGCACACCACGCCTTCCTTTTTGAACGTATTTAAATTGCTTTTAGATGGCGGGCCGGCTGCAGGCAAGCTTTCCCTTACGTGCGCACTGTTCAAGACGTTGGCTGCGCTCCATGTCCGCACCTACCTAGGTGCGGTGCGGCGACAAAAGGGGAGGCGTGAGAGATGGGGAGGAGCGCTCTGGGCCCTGGACTGATCTCTCTTGCCGCTAGGGCTGTTCTTAGAACCGCAAGTAGGAGAGCTGGGGTAGGGCTGGGTAAGTCTTGGTACAAGTTGCGCCCAGCAGCGCGGGGAGGCAGCCTTTACGCCGGTCGGTGTGGCCTAGCTGGGAGCGCGCGTGGTGGGGATGGTGGTGGGAGGGACCACTGTACTAGCCAGCCTCCCTTCCTTCTCCGTCCTAGGAGCAAAGGTCCCGGGGAATTACCCTCCTTTCAGCAGCCCATAGCTGTCCGACCAAAGAGAACAGAACCGTTTTCCCGAGTCCACTTGGGTAGAGGATAAACTTTCCGTTTGGCTTGTGGGCCTGGCCATGGTGCGGGGGGGAGAGCCACCACTGCTTGTGTTGCAGGTGCGCATGGTGAGAGGGGAGCTGGTGGACGAGTCGGGGGGCACCCCTCTGGAGTGGATAGGGTTAATCCGGGCAGCCAGGAACCCTCAGGAACAGACTCTGGAAGCTATTGCAGACTTACCCGGAGGACAGGTACTGCGGGCTCTCCTCTCCCCCCTCTCCCACTGCCAATTCTGTTTATCTAACCGTCCCTGCGTGGCCAACTATATTAGGAGCAAATCGCTTTAGCTAAATAAAGGTCTCATTCAAACGTTCCAGAAACCCTGTGAGGTAGATACTATTGTTTTCCCCTCTGAATTGTGATGGAAGTTCGGTTCAGAGAGATCCAGTAGCTTCACCAGCGTCACACAGCCCTAGAACGGGGGTTCGACACTTTCTTCTCTGTTGCTTTTTGACCGATTATCCCGAAACACAGAAAGGTGTTCTATTCCTTGCGCTCCAGATCTTCTACCGAGCGTTGCGAGATGTCCAGCCAGGGGAGGAGCTGACTGTGTGGTATTCCAACTCCTTGGCTCAGTGGTTCGACATCCCCATCACCGCCACTCCAACACACGACGAAAAAGGTACCACCTCCCAGAAGGCCTCGGGTCAGCGTGGGTGGGCACGAGTTCAGCCTATCCCCGATCTTGGTATGCACCCTCAGATCGGAGGGGCCTTTCTCTCCAACTGTGTGAAATTGAATTCACATTCTCTATGTAGACAGCACACCACCACCTTAAAGTCAACAGTAAATTCTAACAACAGTGACAGTAATATCTGTCTCACTATGTCAGGGAAAGAAAACACTTCTTATAAACTTGGGGGGAAGGGGGTGTCATCCACTTCTACCATACCAAGATACAATTATTTACTCAATCAAGAATCAATAAAAGAGTCTTAAAATAGTGTTACGGTCGGTCATTACATCACGAATTTTAGAGCACATGACTCAAAGCTAAGACGGTTGTTTACTAGGTAGGGCATCCTTCACCACTGATTTTTGAGGAAGAAATGTATTTCGACAGCATTTTAGAAGTATTACGGTACTTACAGCTAGTCTGTTGGCAGGTACCTAGGCCCTTCCATTTAAATGGTATTTATTCACTTCTCCTTCCCTACTTAAATTGAATCTGGGATGTATCCCAGTTTCTTCTCAGATTTATTTGATCTCTTCCAAAGCCAAGAGCGGATTTATGCAAATTAAGGTGCAGTAACTAGAGAGAAAAACATTTTCAAACCTTCCCTAGAACACTGAAGAACACTTCTTGCGGAAGGGAGGCTAGGAGGTAGTAATAAAACAGTGAAGGTCTCAAGTCTCCTTTTTCATATAGAAACTTCAGTGGCTTTCCTTTTTTCCTGGTCAATTGTTTTCCTTTGTAATTTGTTCAAAATACACGTTATTAGGATTCTTATTATGAATGTTGTGAAATATTCAAACATGCTGTCCTCCTGAATTGCCCAGTCTTATTTCTTCAGAAAAGATTTAAAGAAATTAATATAAATGTGTGAATTAAGGAACACTTCAAGAATAAGACAGTATGTGGCTTATTCAGAATGAGGAGTCACTTCGTTTTTGAGTATTACTATTTTCTGTAAATTAATTCTGTTGATTTTATAAGTAGACTTGTATATATGGTATCCATAACAAATGTCTGAAGATGGGCCAGCTAGAGGGTGTGGTAATGTGTCTGGATCCTACACGGCTGAGTGTGTGGCTTGAGCCCTGACCTGGTGACTTGAAAAACATGCCAGTTATGTGCCCCTGTGCCCAAATTCCTGAGAGGAGAATGGAGAAGAGATTGCAGTGTGACCATCCCCCCTGGGGGGTGAGTCCTCACTTGCCCCCTTTCTCTATTTCTCTCTGTTTCCCTCTGGTGAGCATACACACCCTATAGCAAATTTAAAAAAATTATCTAAAGATAATTTGTCCTTTGCATAGCATTATATTAAATACTCCTGTCGACTTCCTCCAGTAAAAAAAGAGCGTGTAAAAAAGTTCCATAACAAACTCTCAAATCTGTTATTATGGAACTATTTGGCACCTTTAGGTGCTAGCCATTTCATCACAGAACACCCTAACTTAGGCATTCTCAAATAGGACAAAGCAGTTTGTTTCACAGTGGCCCTTGTATTTGTTTTTTAGAATTATTTTACTTAACTTTATTTATTATTATTATCATTATTATTTTTCGGTTTGATCAGAGAGAGACAGAGAGAGAGAGGAAGTGAGAAAGAAAGCCACCAGGTCCAAGACTTGAACTGTGGTCGCCCATGTGGGAGTCCAGCGCCCTTAACCACCACGCCACTGGCCAGCCCTGACTCTTGTATTTTTATTTCATTCAACTGAATTTATAAACATCATATGATAACAGATGTCAAAATAGATACCATTTTCCTCTTGGGGAAGACCTACATTATTGTGAATCCCGGTTTCCACAGGTTGGAGATGCTTGGAATCTTGACTACTTTAGGGTTGCATGAAAGAGAAGAGGCAAAGTCCCTTATAAAGTATGTTTAATAATGAATTGGCTGGGTCTGGAGAACATTTTGGTTGGTTGGGATTAACTGAATAGGGGACATACTGAATACTATAACATGCATTTTGCTTACATCTTGCAATGAAGAAATAAGTAGGGATGGCTGCTATTCTTCCAGTACTGGCTAACTTGAGTGGGTTTCAGTTCCATAGTAAGATTAATAAAAGTGCTGTCACTTCATTTCAAGAACAAAGTTTACTTGGTTTTGCATTGAGCTGAGTCATTCTGGGGAAGACTGAAAATTTCTCTTTAAAATGAGGTAGTGAGGGAGCCAGCAGGTGGCGTGGTGGTTAAGGCGCTGGACATTCCCACATGGCTGACCACAGTTTGAGTCCCGGACCTGGTGACTTGCTTTCTCACTTTCTCTTTCTCTCTGTGTGTTTCTCTCTCTGGTCAAACTGAAATAAGTGAATGAATAAATAAACATAAAAAAATGAGGTAGTGAGAGGGAGGTTCTGAATTTAGGAGAAAAGAGATTATTTAAGATAGTTCTACAAATCTGGGGCCAGCAGGTGGCATGGTGGTTGAGGGGCTGGGTTCCCACATGGCTGACCGTGATTTGGGTCCCAGACTTGGCAGCCTGCTTTCTCACAACCCCTACCCCGTCTCTGTCTGCATCTCTCTGGTGAGTGCATGTGTCCTATACCAAGTTATACAATAATAAATCAATAAATAATTAAATAACTTTTTTTTTCCTGAGAGGTTTTTTGCTATAGGGCATGTGTGTTCGCCAGAAAGACAGAGAGAGACAGAGAGACAGAAAGGGATAAGTCACCTTCTAAAGGGGATGGCCATGCTACAATCCCTCCTCCATTCTCCTCTCGGGATCTTGGACACACACACACACATGCCCAGTGTGAGTTTAAGCCACTGGGTCCAGGACTCAAACCGGGTTGGCTATGGGTCCAGGACTCAAATCGGGGTCGGCTACGTGGGAGTCCAGTGACACAGTTATTATGCCAACTGGTTTTTTTTTGTTTTTTTTTTTTTTTTTTTTTTTAATGCTACTACAATAAATCAACACACCCACCAAGAGAACCCAGGCAATCTCTTCAGGATTTATTATACATGAATGTTCAATGCAATGTAACAGGAACATTGAAATGGTTTAATCATCTAAACAATTAGAATAGGGTCTCATTTGCAAATTATCTCTCCCCCACTTTTTTTTTTTCCTGCTCTTCCTAGGCCTCAGTTACAACAAGCTGTTACGAACTTGAACTTCAGTCTTTGCTGAGGGACACTACTTGCTTTATGCAAAGTCAGAAGTTAATATACAAGAAGGGAATGAGATGTAGATTTCCCCCCCCCCTTTTTTTTCTGTTGTAGTGTTTTTTAAGTTTCAGATGTTATATTGCAAGGAGGGAGAATTTAACTCTCATTAAATTTTAAGGGACTATCATATAATTTGAATATATGTGATTGAACTAATTTTTCCTCACAAACATTCTTACCTTCAGTATTATCAACCAGCCACCTAAAAATAAACCCAGTTGCAAGATTACTGTTCTTTGTACAGTAATATGATCTTTTTGAGTAGAAATTAATTTCCACCATGTGATCAGAATCTGTCTTATGTGTGTCTTAATTATGTCCACAGACCCTGGCAAAATTAAAAACGAATGCTAATAATATCAAACAGACACACACATAAAGATTTGACATCAAGCATGTGTGTAGTGCCAAGTAGAGGATTTGGCACTTAAGAAAAGCTATGTATTTATATCTATTTATCCTTATTGCATATATTTATATATTCATGTAATAAAACATTGATATATCTTCTTCAAGATTCTACTAAGCTTGGGTTTGTTCAGGTATGTAGGAGTTAGTTATGAGGCGGGACAACTGACAAGACAATGAAACATTCTAAGAATATCTTCGTTCTTTTTAGAATATCAAGACATTTGATTTTTTTTCTCTCTCACAAATTAAATGGGGTTAGAGAGGAGAAAAGATACAAATAATTTTGAAGAATAGCACATCATAGTCCCTCTGTGGTCCTTCAGTTGGTCACGCTCCAGGAAAACCTCAGGCAAAGTGTTTAAGGCTGGGAGGGGGTGGAAAGGGTGGGTATTATACACAAAAGACATTGTTCTGTGAAAAGGAATGATTACATATGGCCCATACATACAGGATATTGTCTCGCCTGGTAATGAGGCGCTCACGACCATTAGATTGGCCTTTGTTCAGCTTATCCAAACTCCTTGACATACGCCACCTATTCTGCAAACGCCAACAGATGGGCCCAGGCACAGCACAGCCTCAACACTTGATTTAAAGCAACAGCTGCTCTCTGCTCTTCCCCGGCCAGTCAGCCTGAGCGCTGCCCTTCCAATGAAGATTTGCTCTGATGGCTCGAAGGAAGTCTTCCTTGGAAAGGCCGGGTCACCTCCCTATACTTCTGTGTAGTCCCAGAGGATGGAGATGCTGACAAGGGCTGGCTATTCGGGACTTTTCAGGGTCCATAGCAAGGCTACCGAACTAAATTATGTACTGGGACCTAATAAAACTGTTGTTTCTCCTCATTCGACCGGTCAAACCCGGACTTCGGGTGCGCTGGCGTGTTCTTTCAGTAGCTCTTGTTCACCTCTCACCGGGTTGCTTTTCTACTCTTTCTCGCCCAGGGGAGGAGCGCTACATTTGCTGGTACTGCTGGAGGACGTTTAGATACCCCAACAGCCTTAAGGCACACCTGCGTTTCCACTGCGTGTTCAGCGGCGGCGGGGGTCGCGCCTTCCTGCACCAAGAACACGCGGCTCGCCCAGGTGCTGGTCCCGTGGCAGATGGCATCGGTCCCTCTCCGAAGCCCTCTGGTCCCGACTTCGCTGCACCAGCCCCAGCAGGAACTTTGCGGCCCCACCTGCAGGCCCCACCGCCCCCCCAGGTCTGCGGGGCGCGGGAGAGCATCAAGCGTGAGGCCTCCTCCGCGCCCTCGGCCAACTCACCATCCCCGGGAAAGTGGGGGCCAGCCAAAAAGGGCAAGGAGCAGCCGGACCGTGCCCTAAACATGAGCGGGGCCACCCGAGGACATGGCCACTTCCTCAGCATCGTGGGCGGCTCCCCAGCGGGGGGCGGTGGCCTGGCCTTCTACCCCGGCGTGCGCTCGGCTTTCAAGCCAGAAGGCTTGGCCAGGGCG